TGCTAGGTAATGCGAGACTTGCTAGGTAATGCGAGAGGACTTGCGAGGCGATAGGAGCTCGAGAGCGGTGGATGGTGAGGACATGGCGGCAGAGTCGCGCGCGTATATAACGCTCTGCTGAGGGGCAATCGAGCAGCAATCCGTGCTTCGCTTCTCGGGCGGATGGGGGCAATCGAGGAAGGCTCGGTTGCGAAGGCTCCCGATACAAATTGCCTCGGTCCGCAAGCGTGCACAAACAAATACAAGCTCCAACACCTGCCTAATATGGTATTTTCTTCAAAGAAAGAAATATCTGGTCGCTCCCGCGTCTCGCTTGTATGTTGCTCCGATCAGCACTCCTCAAGTGAATCGTCGCCGAATTGATGGCCGCTTTGCAGACGCGCATCCTCTTGCCCCTCGAGTGGTGGTCTTCGACGACAACATACACATATAGTATTTGTTCTGTCTACCAACGTGTCGGCTACTTCGCCCCAGTCTGGTCTACTCGTACATCTGCTTGTCCTACAACTACTGCGACATAACCCCGGCGAACTGTAGCGTATGGATAGTGGGAAGGTGGTCGTCTCTATGCTACAACAGTCGTACACCCGCGTCGCTAGGGTTGTCTCAAGACGCATATAACGGGCGAAAGTCTGGAAAAATGTGCGGCATCATGGCTACTCACTGGTTCATCTCGCCCATCAGGTTCTCTGCTTTCTCTACAACATGCTTCATGGGTGGCATCATATCAGCCCCTTCAACTCCGGGCCCGGCGCGGAGTGCGTTAGCCTTGAACCCTTCTCCGCCGTCGGAGAAGAACCCGGAGTAAGGCGTAGCAGGGCTGAGAGTCACCGGAGTGCGGGCAGAATACGTGAGAGCGGGCGAGACGACGGGGGACTCTTCATCTACATCCGCGTGGTCTCCAACCTCCCGAACGCCGGCCGGGGCACCGTTAGCGACAAGGGTTGCGGTAGCGCCGTGGTTCGGCCCGACAGTGTGCGTGGCCGAGGGGGTAGCGGCGGCGACCGACGCGCCGTTCTGAATGACGCGAGCAGTGGCGCTCGGAAGGTTGATGTTGCTCTTACTGGTGAATAGGGTATGCGTGTTCGTCTGAGGGTTCGGGGAGAGGCTGTTGGTGTTGGTGTGGCGCTGCGCGTTGCTGTCGATGCTATGAGTATGCGGGGTGTGCTTGGAAATGGTGCGTGGGACGTTGTTCATAATGCTAGTACGAGTTTGTTGACGAACAACCGGGTTGCTGCCAGGGTTGGCGCCAGTATCGTACAGGGTCTTGGTATCGATGTGCGAGAGCGCCGGAGCAGCGGTAGAGTTTCGCATGCTGAGGTACTGGGAAGGGAGGGTGGATGAGCGAGTGTGAAGGGCTTGACCACCGCCATCTCCCCGAACTTGCGTGGCGAGTGTGTGGTTGCGCTGGCGCGTTTTCTGGTCTGAGGTCAGCAAGGCTACTCGCAAGACTTTTCCACGGCGATAACTTACGGCTGCACCATCCTGCTCTCCCGAGAAGGTTTGTCCGGCACGCTGATTGTCCTGAAGGAAGTTGGCGGCCGCGTGGAAGTCGTCTTCTGACATCTGGGGCAGACAGTCGAGCAAACGGCGGTTGACGTTTCGACCGGCCGAGGGTACACCGCTCGCGCGAGACCCAGCCGACGAGTACGAATCCTGTAGACGCCCAGAACGGTTCTCCGCGTTTGCCCTCTGCCTTGCGTGGGCTTGAAGGATCAGCTGTTCCACCGGGGTGTATCCCTGCTGTGCACTGTTTGTGCGAAGACCCTGCATACTCATGAGCGCGAGTTGTAGCTGGCTAGGATCATCGAGGAGGTCGCTGGCACTAGCATGGAACGCTTGCTGAGGTAGGCGTAGGTCTGGACTAGCGAAATGAGCAGCTTGAGCGTTGAGCGCGTCGAACGCAGATGGAGCAGACGAAAGCGAGCCGAATCCCTGGGATCTCCCGGCCGTGCCGGCGAAAGAACCCTGGGTCTGCAGGGGAGAAGGACCGGACGGAGGGGATAACGCCCCGGCGAGTTGACCCAGTGACAGGTTGTTCAGAGCAAGACCAAGGCTTGGGCTGTTCGGTAGGCTCGCCATGTCGATACCGCCGACAGATGAAGTGGGAATGTGAGCCTGGTATTGCGTGCCCTTGAGGTTGAGCAAAGCGGCCCGCGCCATAGTCAAGCGAGCCGGCGACTGCTCGTCTTCGCGGCCGTGGCGCTCGGTGCGCTGTTGTTAATCACAAATACAACGTGCGTCAGTGCAGATATCACACTAAAGGAGTATGCTCATACCCTGAGTTCCCGTTGTTCAGCCGTGTCAGCAAAGCGTACAGAGATTCGACATCCAGTGTCATTGCTGCCTCGCACCAACCGTCCATGAAGACGCTCGATGATATCCTCGGCGGCAGTCCGGGTCTCGAGACTGCGTTGATCATAAATCAGACAATATCCACGGCACATGAACATAGACATACCGAACAAACGCAATGATCCTCGGAGGGTTGCTCAATCGAGTGGTGAAGAACCGCGAGCTCATGATGCGATACGGGGCGACCAGGACACGGATGTCTTCATCACAAACGCTCAGTGGGAGGCCCTCCATGTAAAGATTCGTGGATGACTCGTCGCGGAGCTGCTCCATCTTTGATTTGAAGGAATCGGCAGGTCCAGTGGCACACGCCGAAGGAGCTGAAGCATACACCGTTCCGGGGATCTTATGAACCTGCTATTGCAGGGTCAGAACGTGACTATACTTCACACAACGAGGTGGCAGCTTACCTTGGAGAACGACGGATGCAGATTGCGGTACTTGCGCAGAGACTCGATGCACTTCTCCGCCGAGTCGAGGCGTTCGAACCTGTGACATTGAACACATGAGCGGGTGCGTTCATCGACCGCACAGGACAATCACTCACAGCACAAATCCGTATCCGCTGGAAACAAGAAAGGTATCAGTGATTGATCAATGACCATGTCCAACGTAAAATAAAAATCATGTGTGCGCATATAGGGAGCTTTGGCAATGCCAAAAACGCCGGGTTGAAGGTTCTGACCGGAAATACGAAAGGTGCACTCACGAAGGCTTATCGCTCACGTGCCGCGTGAAGGTGCGCACACTGAGGACGTTACCGAACGGACGCGTCATGGCGAGCAAGTCCTCTTCAGGAAAGTTCGGAGGAAGGCCGTTGATGTACACGTTGGGCGGATGCGAACTTGGAGACGGGGGCTGTGGAGGCGCAGCCAAATTTTGAACCTGCTCCTGGGTACCCTCAGCGCGAGCTGAGGCTGGGACGAACGGCGGCGGAAGGGCGGCAGCCTGGGGAGCTTTGTGCTCCCGCACGTCCTGAGTTGAGGCTATGGACGAGTAAAAATGGTCAGCTTAGCGATGGGCGGCGGCAGCAATGGACAACACGTACTAGGACTGTCTTGCTCAAATATATTGTACGCCGCCGCGGTGTTGTCGCGATGAGCGCCCGGGGATACGGAATCCTTGGACGCGGTCGGACTACCAAATTCCGAAGATAGTTCGTGAAGGTCGATGGGCATGTCCAGGAGACGTGACTGGAACTGTGGAGCTGCAGCGGAAAGCGTGGAAGAGAGAGAGGCAACCAGAGACTCTTTAGGGCATAAAGTGAACCGAGGGGACGATGCAGTACTGAGCACTACTCGAGAAGAAGAGTCTGGAGGAGTAGGGGGGGCGTTGGAAAGACAGGATGCAGGCGCGGAAGGTGTAGACGGCGTTTCACGAGTCGGAGAGCGAGGTAAAGCTGAAGAGAAAGACGGAGAACGATCCGGGGAGAGCTGTGCGAGTGCGGGAGAGCTAGACATTGCGCGACGGAACGAGGTGGTCGGCTGGGTTGAAAAAAGGCTTGGAAGACGTGATTAAAGGCAGGTACGGGGAGTGAATGAAAGTAGGATGCAGCGAGTAGGTGTATCTGGGCGAGGATGTTGGCGTGGGGCGTGGGGGCGGGGATATTTACGGGGTATTCGATAAGCTTGTACTTGTTCGATTAGGGTTGGGGCTGTCGGAGGATGTGGAAGCAGACGGGGAGGGGTGCGGGCGCGGGGGAAGGGCGGTATATATACGGCGGGGCGGAGGACAGGCCGTCCATCACGCCCGTCTTCTCTTCGACAGCAGCAGCTGCGTCCATGCCACTCGCCCGTCCGGATCGGGAAGAGGAATAGCAACCTGCACCGCTTCAGGCAGCGCAGACGCCAGCGGGCGGGCGAGCGGAGGATCTCCCTCCGGCCACGCTGCACGCCCGCCCCCTTCCGGCCCATCTCCTCGCCGCTCGCCGCCGGCCACGCGCGTGCGCGGTGACAGTCCGCAAGGTGAAATAGCAGTCTGTCCACGATGACGAGCCCGGCGGAGTTCTCTTCACACATCGATCCCGTTCCTTCGTGTCCGGATTTGGCCACTCGTCCACCGGGCGCCTGTCGGCGACTTTCCTCAGCCCTGCCACCGCCACCGTGCCCTCCGCGTGCTCGTCCTCCGCATGCACCCTCGGCACGATACGTCCGCCGTAGTATGTGAGCACGCCTCTGCTCACCGCGGGAGCCCACCCGGACCCCCTGTGCGTTACTCGGCCGGTGTTCCACTCCCGGCCTCATGTGAAGACAAACCACCGATCGATGGCTTCGAACCTACTTGCCGCTATGTCTTGCGTGTCCGAACACTTGGATCGTCCGCCCTGGCTTCTATCGGCCTTTGTCTTTCGGCTCCGCCACTGCTGTATCGTCCCTCAACGTCGGGAACCGGTCATCGCCGGCTTCACAAACCTTCACGAACGCAAGTATTACTTCGTCTAAGAGCAAAACTTGGGCATTCTGGTGGCTGTAGCACGCTGTAGGCTTTCCTACAATACTATAGCTAGTGATGAAAACAATACTGGTACTCAGTACACTCAGTAAAGGCCCCTAAGACACTAGACTGTCTTGGTAGATTGTTCCTGAGGGCAGAGGGAGAAGGACAGCAGAGCACAATATGAAATAGCCCGCACCAGGATATACATAGCCTGCCTAGCTCAATCGGATAGAGCGTGAGACTTTTAAGAACCAGAGTATCTGGGCGGAATCTCAAGGCTGCGGGTTCGACCCCCGCGGTGGGCTTCTACTTTTTGCTCGGTAGGCGTACCTATTAGTCAGCATACGATATGCGAGATTAAGTGCAGACAGGTCGAGAGCAAAGCAGTTGCGTTTTCAGAGCTGCGTGAGCGAGACAAGCGAAGACGTAACCTGACGTAACGGGATGAGGAAGAGTGCTTGTATGTAGTTGTACGTACTTGCGTCTCTTTGGTTTACTGTCCTAATCAGGAAGTTTACACCGCGCATCCTAGCGACGATTGATTGCCGCCGACTGTGGCCATCCCGCCCGAGAAGCGAAGCACGGATTGCTGCTCGATTGCCCCTCAGCAGAGCGTTATATACGCGCGCGACTCTGCCGCCATGTCCTCACCATCCACCGCTCTCGAGCTCCTATCGCCTCGCAAGTCCTCTCGCATTACCTAGCAAGTCTCGCATTACCTAGCAAGTCTCGCCTACCACCCATCCACGACCATGTCTGCCTCCACCTCCTCCGCGTCCACCACCCGCCCCACCTTCTTCGGACTCTTCGACCGCGCGGTCACCCCGGAGCTCGACATTGAGGCCCAGCTCCCCCAGCCGATCCCCGCGCGCACCCACGCGGCGCGCTCGAACGCGTCCGTGGACGAAACCACCTCGAACGTGATCGACGACTTCTTCGGCGCGTCGCGGCGGGCGGGGACGCGCGACAGCCGGCACGACGATGCGCGCGCAGCGACGCCCGCGGACGTCGAGGCTGCACCGCCGTCGTACGAGATGTCGCTCGAGCCGCCTGCGTACTCGGCGGTGTCGGACCAGCCCACGCTCGCGATGTACCTCTTCAAGTTTGGCTTCCGTGAGTATCCTCTTTGTTCATGTGTTGCGCGAGCATGTTCTAACCACCAAGCCTCGCAGTGTTCCCTCTGTTCTGGATCGCCGGGGCGTTCATCCTGCTCTCGCCGCTCCAGGCGCCGGAGGACTGGGAGACGACGAAGCCCGAGTACGAGCGGGCAGAGATGATCGCGTCGATGCGGCGGGCGGAGGTGAAGTGGGCGAAGCGGTGCTTGTATGCGCTCGGCCTCACCACGCTCGTCGTCACCGCCATCGTGGTCCTCGCGGTCTTCACCATGCGCTCGTGAACCGCGCCCCTCCCTCCCTTCCCCTTCCCTCATACACCACTCCTCAAGACAAGCCGCTCTCGCGCATCCAAGACAAGCCGCCCCACTTTGGCGCGCATTCGAAACCACAACACTCTGTACCCATGCCGAAGTTCACGCTCTACTTCTACCTTCAACTCTGCCGCCTCCGCGCGCGCCCGCACCCTCCTTCCGCGTTCTTCGGGGCTGCGCCCATCTCCGACTCTCTGTTATCATTATTACTCTGTATTACTATCTATCATCCAAGTATAAGTGTATCAATACAAATTGCATCCTTCCCGGTCATTCGTTCGTTGTGTGCGTGAGATACAGAGGGGATGCGCGCTGCGCGTACAGAAGTGGTGGTGTACACAGTACAGGATGTTGATATAGAGCGATGGGAGGCCGAAGCAATGCGTAGGGATAGCAGGACGCGAGAAATGCGAGAGCCGACACACTGAACGAAATAAGGATGATGCGCGGGTAAAGACGTTGGAACACAGAGACACGTAAATGTCATGGGCAGCGACAGAACTAGTAGCTAAATACTTATAGGAACCAAGAAATCGAAGAATAATAACATCAAGAGGTGGCCCACCTGAGCACCGCAGCCCATCTCCCCACCCGGTCCCGCGTCTCATCAAGGCGCTGCGCTTCCTTGTCCACAACGCCGAAGATGCGCCCCGTGCGCTTGTGGATGCGGTACCGGTGCCCCGCGAGCGCGTGTGCGAGCTTGTCGGGGCCGACGCTCCTGTCTGCGAGCGCGAGCGCGACGTCCGTCTGCGCGGTGAGCCAGATCGCCGCGCCCAGCGTGCCGAGGTGCGGCGGGAGCGGGAGTCCCGCGCGTGCGGACTTGTGGCAGAAGAACAGGACGGTAGTGCCTATGCTCAGGAGGCCGAGCACGCCGACGAGGAAGCCGGCTGCTATGGGGCTGCAGGTCAAGGATGCGAGTGTAAGCAGCGGAGATACACGCGCAGAGCGGCGATGAGAGCAGGGAGGCGTACACGAGGAAGAGGCGTCTGCAGTTCGCGCCGACGCGCACGGAGATCTGGCTTTGGTCGTCGACGAAGTAGATGCTCTTCGCGATGAGGCTCAGGTACGTAGTCTGGTAGCAGGAGGCAACGACGGGCCACCGTCAGCATGGGTGAATATACGAACAAGCCCCGCCACTCACATAGACATCCTGCGCCAGCCCGGTGGTCCCATTGCCGAAAAACGTGCTTGTCAAAAGCGGGTCCTTCATCTTAGCCGCCTCTAGGATCGCGCCGGGGAGCAGCTGCTGGATCGCGTCCGCGCGCACGCTCGCAGCCTCGTCGAGGTCCCCGTCGAAGAACACGCCGTTGTACACGAACGGGCCGATGTTCGCGACGCTCGCGTCGTCCGGGGAGTTCTGCAGCGGCGTCACGTCCATCGCGCGCGTCGCGAGGTCGATCGCGACGCCCACGTTCTGGCCGGACGCGTGCGGGGTGCACATCACGGCGGAGGCCATGGGCGAGGGTTTCAACGCGAAGAACCAGAAGAGGACGGGCCGGTACTGCAGGGGGATGCCATCAAACGACTCACCACACCCTGTGAAGCCCGCTGGCGTGACTCCTGCGATACAGTTCCGCTGTCAAAATACCGTATGTATGAGCGGCATTGAGACTCGCCATAGAGATACGTGGCGTTGCTCTCCACGGTCCACGTCTGCTCGCATAGACCAAAATTGGCCGTATGGTGCCATATGAATGGCATGTTAATGTCGTGGGTCATCGCGACCTGGCACCGGCAATCCAGCCTAGTGAGCATCGAAAAGTGTACGCAAGGGGATAGAGATGCTCACACTATCGGGGGCAACGCATGCTGCCTGACTGAGTACCGCCGGCCGACTTGACGCGTACACGGTACCGTTTGTCCCTTCCGGTAGCTAGATTTAATATTATAGTATCAGTATCGTATGATCTGAAAGAGGGCGTGCAGAACTCGCCTCGAACTCAGCAACAGTATATCCACCGGACGCGAATGGAGGGGATCCGACGTTGTACATCACGTCGGCAGAGGCGAAGCTCGCCGCGCTTTGGAAAGCTAGCAGGCGAGGTCAGCGTGGTCCTCCTTATACCAAACAGATAATCGGCCGCTTACCTGTCAGGTCCATGAAGTTCGCTACCCTGTTCACGCCGATCCTCGCTGTGCTGTTGACCACGATATCTACGACGCAAGCATTGATCGTAAGTTGGCTTTGTAAGTTTTGGCAGAGAGCCAACGCCCGGACTTACCAGGTCCAATCCAGAACACATCGCGCACGGTGAACAGCGCCCCTGTCAGCGGCTGGAGCGTGAGCGTGAGGATGTACAAGGCCGTTCCCAGCCACACAAGCCCATCTCTTCTAAACACCGACTTGCAACAAGCTACGAAAGGACTGAGATATGTCAGCTACAGAGGGCACGTATGCAGACAGTGCGAGTGATCGGGGCGCACTTGTACTGCGTGTAGTCGAGGAGGAGTGTCTGATGAGGGAGACGGCCGTCGGGACGACCGAGGTTCACGAGGGGCTACGTCACGTTGCCGCGGTCAGTGCAAATCCATGAATCGTGCGAAGAGGAAGGGTACACTTACCTGCAGCCGTCGCACCTCCGACTCTGTCCACGATACCGTCGCCGAGAAGACGATAGGTAAAAGTAGCGGTGGTACACTCTATTCAGGGGATAATGCGATGTCACTCAAGGGCCAGTGAGTTGTCGAGCGATACACTCACAAAGAACAGATGCCTGAACCCCGTCGCTTCCGCATAACTCACCAGAAGCGGCGCAGCCCACCCTACATCGCCAACATGGTAAGATAAAAATGCGAAGCAGTGATGGCGAAGCAAGACCCAACGCACCCTTCTCAGCGCTGTATGCCAAAGCCACGGCCAGCCCCACGATGGCTAAGGCCATGACGCCCACGAGCAAGGCAGTAACCCACCACCGTAGCGGTGTCGGGACGTTTGTCCCGCACGGTATTACCTCTTCGTGGGCCGCTTCCAGATCGTCGAACTTAACGTCTTCGAGAGTGTGTGTAAGCGATTGACGTTCAGCATGTGTGGCAAGAACCCTATACAACTGCTTACCAGCCTTGCCGAACCCGGCCGGGGGTGTCTCCACAGCCGTCTTGTCACTTTGGTTGCTGAGGGAGGTTTTCGGTGTGCGTTCTGTAACCGCGGAAGCCGAGACCGGGGTAGATAACCCCTCGGGAAAACTGATGGACAGCGGCGTATTGGGCGCCGCAGTGAGAAACGGGCCATCTTCTAGCGAGTACGTGTCGCTGCTCTGTTGAGAAGCGTTCATGAGCACTACTCGTAAGAGTGGATGCCACAGTCAGGAAAGGGCGCTTACATCGTCATCAATATGAACACTAGCCAGAGGGTCTGTATGCCTTGAATGACGGCGCGCCCAGACGAGCACGGAGGCTTTGAGGCCGGCAGAAGCAGGCGGAGCTTCATCTCGAGGAAAATCCATGATGGTATGCAGGGAGTCTCGACGAGGAGCAGTGGTGAAGCAGCCGAGTAAAGGAAGGGGGAATTAATCACAAGAGAAGTAGTGATATATATATACAGCGGAAGGGGCGTTGACGGGGAGCAGGAGAGGTTGGGCAGGGAGCAGAGAAGGTGGGACGACGAGGGGACCACAAGAACCCTAGACAGCTGAAGATTACCACATGTCATTTTATAGCAAAAGCTCTGGTATCAAGATGGTGGCACAGACAGAGGAAACAAGCTCCTTTGTGGCATCGTGCTAGAGGGTGGCGCGAGGGCGAGTACAACAAAGGAAGTTTGGGCGATGTATGTCAGTGCCGCCGTCGGGGATTTGATAAGTTTGGGGGGAGAACCTAAGCAGGAGTCGGGGGGTATTTCTTGGGCTTGTCCACAAGGTGAACGAGAACCCGGTATCATGA